TAAACGTCAAAACGGCTGAACCGATCGGGCCCAAATTTTTTGTGGGACATCACGTGACCACAGGGTAGGTTTATGAGTGATCAAAATTTCTAATATTTGTCTCCATCAAAATTCGATCTTCGTTAAATTTTTGAAAATTTTGAAAATCCATGAATTTTTTGTGAAAATCCGCGAATTATTTTTGTTTTGTTTTACGATGTACACAAAGAGAACATGTTCACAATTAATTTAGAAGATGGGCGCGAAGCGCCCTATAAGGCTAGTTCTGATAAATTTCCCTATCCCCTCTTCCTCTTTCTGTTCTGACCTCTCTTTTTATCTCCTTTCAAGCAACTATGCCATAGTTTATATTCATATATACTTAAGCCTCATTAAGCTCTACCTCAACACTATAACCTTTTAAATTTTGTAGTGTATATTTATTTATCAATATGTATAAACTATTTGTCTTTCTATTTGTCAAGTTTGTTTGGAAGTTTGATCATAACTCATAAACCTCTGGACCGATTTTTCTTAACTTTTGATTGTGGAGTTCAGTTCAGTATAGAACCATGGTTTAAAAAGTTCTCAGTTGTGTGTGTTGAACTTTATAGGGAAAATTTCAGACAAAGCTGGGTTCCCAAGCCCTTAGTAAGTAAATATATGTAAGTATTTACTTCTATTTGTTTGTTGTATGTCTAATCATAACTCATGAACCCATTGAACGGGGATTGATTGATTGAGGAACTCGGTAGAACCACGAAAATTCCCTTAGCTTGGTTTTAAAAATTCTAAATTGATTAGGTTGACTTTTATAATTTTCAGGCAAAGCTGGGTACCCAAACAAGAAATATATAAAGTAGAAGTCTCTGTTTATCTATTTATTTGTCCGATTATAACTCATGAACCCGATTTGCCATAAATTTTTATTGGGTAACTGTTTTATATTTGGGTAACTCGTTAGAACCACAGGAATGTTCTTAGAAATTAGTTTTAAAATTCTAAGTTTGCTTTTGTGACTTTTGAATTTGAATTTTGGGTTCCAAAGCTATGGTTCAGTGATAAATCCAATTTGTTGTCTTCAAAAACAAATTCTTTTTGGTTTATGAGAATCTCATGTTAATGGAGCAAGGGCTCAGGGCCCACTCCTTTCACAGATTAAAATTGCAGTATGATTTGTTGCAAATTTCTTGGCATGCACTTTTTTCCAAATAAACATTCAAATTTGTCATAAATAACTAGATATATCTAAACTACAGTCGTGTCCATGCAAAAAGTGCAGAATCACTACAGTAACAGTAATGCATATATGCATATATACAACAGTAAACAGTGGAGATTTCCATGAATCTGGTCCCATGGAACACTGGAGCCGGAGGACCAGCAGGATCGTTTTTAGTGCTCATGTTCAGGATTATCTCCGAGTCTAAGGGGGGAGAGGGATATGTTGAACAGTTCCTGGCATATCTTCTGCTCCATTCAGATAATGCAGATTTCCCCAATATCTTGGCTGAACTGGAAATGAGTTTAAACTGACCATTTGAGCAGGCATAGACGCAGGCACTATATCCTTGCAGGCTGCCATCAAAGAGGATGAAGAGCTGGGCGGAGTAGTTTATGATAATCTGGCAAGGAAAGGACATATTTCTGGTGAGCAGGATCTCTTTCATTGCGAAACCGAATCTGTTGGTTCGTTCCTCGGACAGCATGGTATTGAAAGAGCACTGCGGAGCTTTGCAGATCTCACTGAACTCGGAACAAATAGAGAACATTAACTGAACAAATGGAGAACATTAACGGAACAAATAGAGAACATTAACGGAACAAATAGAGAACATTAACGGAACAAATAGAGAACATTAATAGAACAAATAGAGAACATTAACGGAACAAATAGAGTACATTAACGGAACAAATAGAGACAATTAACTGAAAAATTGAGAACAATAAAGGAACAAATAGAGAACATTAACGGAACAAATAGAGAACATTAACTGAACAAATAGAGAACATTAACGGAACAAATAGAGAACATTAACTGAACAAATAGAGAACATTAACGGAACAAATAGAGAACATTAACTGAACAAATAGAGAACATTAACGGAATAAATAGAGAACATTAACGGAACGGACAAGTCCTGTTGGATCGTACAATTGGCAGGCTACAGAGAGGACGTTTTTCTTGGTGATATGTGCAGTTGGATCCTGAGAAATTTGTAGTCAAGGTCAGCTCCAAAGGTAATTCCGTGACATTTTTGTGGAGATTGAGGCGGAATTTTAGGAAATAACGATCTTTGAGGTGATCCCTTGTCATTCCCAGGTATTTACTTGTTCCGTCCTCACCAGAGCACTCTCAGGACTTCTTTTGTTTATGATACTGGACAAGTAGACTGCTTTCCCAGGACTGGGCAGTGCCCAGTGGGCACTTTTTTGGAAATCTTTTTTTTTAACTGGACAAGTGGACAAGTAGACTGCTTTCAAGTAATTGGCATCAATTATGAAAATCGCTTTATTAAACGCTTGTTTTCATGAAATTTTAACTGTTCTTTGATTACTAACTCTTTATTCTAAATTGTAAAAAGCCAGAGTGATTAACAGTATTTTCCTTCTCTTCTTTCCATTTTCTTAATCCTTTTTGACTAATATTTAGTCTCCGACCCCTTTTGAACTAGGGGTAGAGGATTTTGATGGGAAGGGAGTGGGGGGGGGGAGTTGGGGATATATTGGAGGAGATAAAGGATGAAAAAAAGTTGTAAACTATTTCCTAATTTTAATGAGCTGTGAAAGAAAATGGAAAATTTTCTTTGTGTGACGACATTTGGATTTATCTTCCATAGCATAAGTCGGTTAAGAGTTATACCCACAAACGATATGAGTTCAGAGACGACTGTACAGAATAGTATTACATTATTGATGATTCCCTGTAGCTTTAACCGTGTTTTTGCACATTAAATACCTAAGATTCTATTTATCCTTCATATCTTTGTGGTTAACCCTGTATTTGGTAACCAAAAGTTGTCTTCTTTGCCTACATTTTTTTTACCAAAACTGTTTCAACTTTCCCTGTACTCTTTCTTCAAATCACACTTACATGTCTATGTATTAATGAATAAAGTTATGAGATCTGAAAATATACAATTGTAATTTGTTGAACTTACCCATAATCGTAAAAATGAAGAAAAATTGAAAGAAAAAAAGGGGTTGGTTCGAAAGTTGGAAAACGTCGAGTAATTTGTGCGCCCTATGAAGGTAAATCATTAATTACTCTAGTCAATAATGACTTCATAAGCAATACAATTAGACATCCTTTCTTTGGGTATAATTGGTAAATAGTTTGGTTTGTCTTTTGGTTTGTTTGTTTGTTGGTTTCTATTCTATAAATACCAAAACGCTAAATCAAATAAAATCAAATTTGTATAGGTCCTTTCGTGGAGTATTGACATTGCCAGTTATAGTTCTAATTTATCCCTTAGAAATTAAATTAAACCTTTCAAGGAAGAATTTTCTAATTCCGATATCTTTGCAACTCAATGTGTGATTCTGTAATCCTTTAGATCAAAAATCTAAGTTTAAAATAACAAAGGTTTACAACAAGGTTGCAAAGATAAGGGAATTAGAAAAATAAGTTTGTGGCAAAGATTTAGTTTCTTTGTTCAATAATTTAAAAATGCAAAGTACTAGTTAACAAGCGGTAAAGGTGCGCAAAACCCCTTTATAGAGCCGCAAATCTAATCCTATTTATAGATAATAAGGTTTGAAAATAATTTCCAATTATGCTATTGCCCTGTCTCATCAAATCCTGAACATGCTGCATGAACTACCTTTTTATCAACTATTTCAACTTTTTCTTGGTTTATGTCGACTTAAAAAAATACATTCTGTTTTTAAAGTATACTAGCTTGAACCCATCTTCGTCTGGAGATTAATTAAGAAAATAAACCTAACACGGCTTTAGAAATGGTTTTAAAAATTTAATTTGTGTTTAGATTTTGAAAATTCATCCATGAAAACATGCCAAATTATGTTTTTAGATGTATGAAAAAAATTGTGATTTTTAAAATCTACCAACAGCCTAGTGAAAAATATTTGGATCATAAAAAAATTCCCAATTCATAGTTTTCCCTGAGAATAAAACTTTTGTGTTACAGGACCTCAGTCTAAGTCAAAGCTGCAGAATCTATTTTAGGTTAAAATGCTGTAATCAGTATATTTAAGACAGAATGATTTCCTGAATTTAGCCGCTGAATTCTATATCCATAGCCTAGCTCGGTTTGATCATCGGTAAAAGCAGCATATACTATTTTCCCTTTCGCAGGTGAGGAGGGTAGGGGGCAGACTGGGTGAACTCAACGTCAAAAAACAGCAGCTACAAAACGTCAAATAAAAAATGGCCTATACAATTCAAAACGTCAATGATACAAAACGTGGAACATTACAAAAGGTAGACAAAAACGCCCAAATTACAAAATGTCGAATGTTACAATGGATACGCCCCCGATCTTATAATATGTAATATATACGTGTATATATAAATCTTTGAAAGGACAATTTGCAGTGACCATCCATTCAAAGATGGCAATGCCCCATCTACAACGGTATCTCTAAAAATATGCGTTGTCTGATCAAAAATGAATTGATAGCCATACTTTAGTTTATTTAAACTGTATATTTTCATTTGCGGGTTCTGTACTAAAGTGACTTGCCTATTTTTGCTTATAAGAGGAAAAAGAGACATTATGAGAATTAAACGCTTTTCGAGTCTTCAATATTTTTATTAAGGTTTCAATGGTACCCTTGTAAATCGGGCATTGCAATCTTTGCATGAAGGGTCGGTTGAAATTACGCTTACTGTCCCTTTAGGCATAAAAATTATCTTAATAACAAAGGCAACGATGGGGAAAGGCAATATAAGCGAATATGTATGGAAGACTACGAAGAGTTAGATGGTTTGAAAGATAGAACAACGTTGTAACCTTGCTTTCCATCCTAGGCTTTCTCCATTAGATGGTTTACCTCCGAGGGGTGAGGATACAGGACATACAGGATATACAGGATACAGGATATAGGAGACTTCAAACCATGTGATTTCAAAATTTATGTCAACCTTTAAACTGAGAGTGTAAATTGCAGGTAAAAAAGAGTGGCAATAAAGATGAAATATTCATGATGTCTGAAAGGAATATTAATACTTTATGTTTTTAATGTGTTTAGAGTAAAGTAAATATATGTGATGTACGCTACAATATATTCATACATCACACTTTGCTTAACACTCTTTCAATTAGACAGCAAAAATGGTGTATGGCGAATGTCGACAATAGACAGAAAATTTTGTGATAGAAGTTAGAGTAGAAAGTTGACCGAAGCAAATAAATATAATCGTTTTTTAAAATGATTAGAGACTAGTTTTTAAACAGCAGAAAATAGGGAGTAGAAAACAAACGGTAAACAGTAGACTCGAGACAAAAGACAGTAGAATGTAGACAGTCGGTAGTTAGTTGACAGTGGGTATTAAATAGACAGTAGACAGTGGGTATTAACTAGTCAGTTGACAGTGGGGATTAAACAGACAGTAGACAGCGGGCATTAAATAGACAGTTGACAGCGGGCATTAGATAGACAGTAGACAGCGGGCATTAAATAGACAGTTGACAGTGGGTATTAAATAGACAGTAGACAGTGGGCATTAAATAGACAGTTGACAGTGGGCATTAAATAGACAGTAGACAGGGGGGATTAAATAGTCAATTGACAGTGGGGATTAAATAGACAGTTGACAGTGGGCATTAAATAGACAGTAGACAGTGGGCATTAAATAGACAGTAGACAGCGGGCATTAAATAGACAGTAGACATCGGGCATTAAATCGACAGTCGACAGTGGGGATTAAATAGACAGCAGACAGTGGGTATTAAATAGTCAGTTGACAGTGGGCATTAAATAGACAGTAGACAGTGGGCATTAAATAGACAGTCGACAGTGGGGATTAAATAGACAGTAGACAGTGGGTATTAAATATTCAGTTGACAGTGGGCATTAAATAGACAGTAGACAGTGGGTATTAAATAGACAGTAGACAGTGGGTATTAAATAGACAGTAGACAGTGGGTATTAAATAGACAGTAGACAGTGGGTATTAAATAGTCAGTTGACAGTGGGCATTAAATAGACAGTTGACAGTGGGCATTAAATAGACAGTTGACAGTGGGCATTAAATAGTCAGTTGACAGTGGACATTAAATAGTCAGTTGACAGTGGTCATTAAATAGTCAGTTGACAGTGGGCATTAAATAGACAGTAGACAGTGGGCATTAAATAGACAGTCGACAGTGGGGATGAAATAGACAGTAGACAGTGGGTATTAAATAGTCAGTTGATAGTGTGCATTAAATAGACAGTAGACAGCGGACATTAAATAGACAGTAGACAGTGGACATTAAATAGTCAGTTGACAGTGGACATTAAATAGACAGTTGACAGTGGGCATTAAATAGACAGTAGACAGTGGGTATTAAATAGACAGTAGACAGTGGGCATCAAATAGACAGTAGACATCGGGCATTAAATAGACAGTAGACAGTGGACATTAAATAGTCAGTTGACAGTGGACATTAAATAGTCAGTTGACAGTGGTCATTAAATATACAGTAGACAGTGGGCATCAAATAGACAGTAGACATCGGGCATTAAATAGACAGTCGACAGTGGGGATTAAATAGACAGTAGACAGTGGGTATTAAATAGTCAGTTGACAGTGGGCATTAAATAGACAGTAGACAGTGGGCATTAAATAGACAGTAGACAGTGGGTATTATATAGACAGTAGACAGTGGGTATTAAATAGTCAGTTGACAGTGGGCATTAAATAGACAGTTGACAGTGGGCATTAAATAGACAGTTGACAGTGGGCATTAAATAGACAGTTGACAGTGGGCATTAAGTAGTCAATAGATAGTGATAGTAAATAATTAACAGTAAAGACAATAGAACACAGACATGAACATTAAGTTTTGTGATACAAAAAAGTACTTAGTGAACAGCAGAAAACAGAATTAGACAGTAAGCTTTGTAATACTAAAAAGTTATAGTAGACACTATGACATGAGCATAAACAGTTAGTTTTATGATATAAAAAAGCATGGAATATAACAGAATAGATAAAATAGAATAAAATAGAATAGAAAATAATGACATAAAGCATAGATAGAATAAATGTTTTAGAATATTATTGAACAAAATAATGAAAAGCATAGATAGAACAAATGTTTTAGAACAGAATTATTTAAAGCATAGATAGAATAAATGTTTTAGAATATAATAGAATAGAACAGAATTATATAAAGCATAGATAGAATAAATGTTTTAGAATAGAATAGAACAGAATTATATAAAGCATAGATAGAATAAATGTTTGAGAATAGAATAGTGTAAACATAATATTCTGTAAACCTGCAGTACGTTGTTAACAATTTATGAATTTATGAAGATATAATGACATTATTCATTTAAACTGAGTTTCAATTCAATGCGTACACGGGCAGCCGTAGTACATTTGAATTTCCGAGCCGGGTCAACCTTTCCAGTCCCAGTTTGTACTGTATCGCCTGGACAGTGGGTAAATAAAGCAGACACGCAATAGGACTAGCCGGTGCAACAAGGTTGACTCGGTCAGACTTTAGGTTGAATTTACTTTCACTGAAGGGTCAGAAGTGCGTGAGTAGCATGTTTAGATTTAACCATGTTAAACATGAGTGAAGAGAGATTAACTACGTTATATCTATTCTCTCTAATCTTATAAATACGTACATTAAACTTTAACTGTGTGGTAAATACGTAATATGATTGTCTTAATCATGTGATATGGATAACGACGGAGGAATTGTAATCATGCCAATTCATGTTAACTTAAGATATAAGATATTTGAATAAAGTCAGTTTACAGAGTAACTCCGTACTGATTATTACGAGAGAGTGATCCTGAAACCTTGTGTTGATGTATAACCAGGTTGGATCGTCCCCCATCATTTGGGGTTGATATATATAGCGTGTTGATAGCTAGGCTTGTGTTCTTGTGTGGCATTTAGAGCACTGGATCGTCCCCATCATTTGGTATCGATATGCTTGTTTCATAGCTACGCTTGTGTCCCTGGGCTGTGTGGCATTTAGAGCCTGGGATTCAGTCCTGGTTGAGTTTGATAGCGGACGAATGTATCTGGATAGATACGTTCGAGTACTTGCTATGGAGTAGGTGTGTACTACAATAGAACAGAGTTATATAAAGCAAAGATAGAATACATGTTTGAGAACTGCTGTAGCCTCAAAGGGAGAACTAAAATAATCCTATCAGAAAAAGACATTTAATACACATTGAAAACTTCTGAAAGAATAATAATGATCATAAATCTGTGCGATCTGCACTTTCCCCTTCTGATGCACTTTCCCCTACTGATGCACTTTCCAGGGAAAAGTGAGGTTCATCAAAATATAAAATGACATTAAGATAAAAAATGAAAACACTTAACCATCATAACAAGCAAATTAAATTCTCAGTAACGCATACCGTAACACCCTGTAATGCATAGAAACATCCTGTAATGCACAGAAACACCCTGTATTGCACAGAAACCCGTTTTAATGCACAGAAACACCCTGTTTTGCATAGAAACACCCTGTAATGTACAGTACACCATGTAATGCACAAAAACAAGCTTTAGACACACTATGTAATGAATAGAAACACCATGTAATGCATAGAAACACCCTTTATTGAACAGAAACACCCTGCAATGCAGAGAAACACCCTGTAATGAATAGAAACACCCTGTAATGCATAGAAACACCCTTTATTGAACAGAAACACCCTGCAATGCAGAGAAACACCCTGTAATGCAGAGAAACACCATGTAATGCAGAGAAACACCCTGCAATGCATAGAAACACCCTTTATTGAACAGAAACACCCTGCAATGAATAGAAACACCCTGTAATGACAGAACTCTCATGTTTCCATTTAGAATCTGTAAAACTGTCATCCTCAGGCTTAGCAATTATTCTAAATATACTTTTCTCAACATTCTCGCCAGTCCGTTTCATGGTTCATACATATATAATATAATTCACATAATTTGCAATCCATCGAACCTGAGTCCGGTCCACACATAGATGTATCTTTATATATATCTTTTTATCCATCTGTATTTCTATNAGATAGATAGATAGATAGATAGATAGATAGATAGATAGATAGATAGATAGATAGATAGATAGATAGATAGATAGATAGATAGATAGATAGATAGATAGATAGATAGATAGATAGATAGATAGATAGATAGATAGATAGATAGATAGATAGATAGATAGATAGATAGATAGATAGATAGATAGATAGATAGATAGATAGATAGATAGATAGATAGATAGATAGATAGATAGATAGATAGATAGATAGATAGATAGATAGATAGATAGATAGATAGATAGATAGATAGATAGATAGATAGATAGATAGATAGATAGATAGATAGATAGATAGATAGATAGATAGATAGATAGATAGATAGATAGATAGATAGATAGATAGATAGATAGATATAGATAGATAGATAGATAGATAGATAGATAGATAGATAGATAGATATAAATAGATAGATAGATAGATAGATGAATAGATAGATAGATAGATAGATAGATAGATAGACAAAATCAGTTTCAAAACAAACACTCTTTATATAATTAACCTTTTCCTTCCCCCATGGGACACAAAGATAGATAGATAATTAGATTAAAAGATAGATGGATATAAACAAAGCTTACATCAATCCTTTATATAAATCAACAACACAACACATCCCTGACAAGAAAATAAAATTAACTCAATTTAAAAAGAATAATATATATTTAGTCTAACTGATCTTAATCGATTCACACCCGTACCCTTGATATCTTAATCGATTCACAACCGTACCCTTGATATCTTAATCGATTCACACCCGTACCCTTGATATCTTAATCGATTCACAACCGTACCCTTGATATCTTAATCAATTCACAACCGTACCCTTGATATCTTACTCGATTCACAACCTTACCCTTGATATCTTACTCGATTCACAACAGAACCCTCGATATCTTAATCGATTCACAACAGCACCCTAGACATCTTAATCGATTCACAACCGTACCCTAGATATATTACTCGATTCACAACTGTACCCTAGATATCTTACTCGATTCACTAATGTACCCTTGATATTTTAATCGATTCACAACCGTACATTTGTCTGTTTAGTTCTAATAATAAATTCATTGTTTCTGAGGAAAGAAATCAGCAATTCACTTTTGCAGAGGACCCGCAAATTAGCCAC